GTGTCTCATGTATGCGATTGCCCCACCTATGTCTCGTATCCTCATGTATTTCACCTCAGGTCCAGTTCCCTAAACCGTAACATGTTGTTTCTAATTGTGTCTGTCATTTACCTTGTAATAATTGTGTTTTGATTTTTTTTTCTGAGGATGAGAATGCCGCTTTACCAGACAAAGCTGGCCCAGGTAAAAGAGGAGCTCTGTCATCACTTCAAGGATCACCTCCAGTATACCCCCACACATCCACTCCTGTGGTGAAGAAATCCCCAAGGAAAACCCTACAACTTCCTAGTACCCCAGAATATGTGATCTACACAGACACTGAGTTGGAACTAGCTCGTAAGCACCATTTTGAGATGGAGGGGGGGGGAATCTGCCATGTCGAAAGAGCTGAGATGCAGGCTGGTGAGGAACACTGTTACCCGCATGATTTCAATCTTGAGAGCAAGTCCCCAAGGAGAGGAACTCCAGTACCCTTCAAAGCATGAGGTCACTGCAATGGCTAAGAGACTAGTGGAGTATTATCCCATGCTACAGGATAAAGATGAACCCATCAAACATGTAAGTGATGACAATTTTAGCCATATTATTTTTCTTGAAAAGTTATTTAAAAAAGTTACGTGATATTCAAAATATTTTTTCAATGAATGACTTTTTTCACCACAGATGAGCATGTACAGTTATCTTCAGAAGAGAATTCTGAATGTGAAGTCCCCACAGAAGAGGCAGGGGCCCAGACCAGAGAGAAGCAGTTCAACCAAAAGACGTCACATTGACTTCTCTCCAAGTGACCAGGGAGAAGATTATGATGCCGACTCAAGTGGTGGATCAACAATTCTTTTGCCACCTGGGAGCAGTTCTGAAGGTGACAGTTCAGGTGAGTGAAAAATTGTATTTTGGCAATAATGATGGACACGAAAGCTAGGTAATGCTATCATAGTTTTGTATATAATGACATATATTACAGGTATTTAAACTTTACATTGAAGTTATGATTAGGCTTTGATGTATTGTGATGTGACAGTAGTTTTCACTTATTTGATTCCATTGTGTAAAAATTAAAGTATAACAATCAAAATGTTATGTTTGCTGGCTTAAATTTGTCGTATCATTCAGATGACATGTCCAATACTTGTTGCTGATTTGTATTTCCTTTTAGCGGACACAGATAGTCTGGCAACACAGGCCAGGCATTACAAGACTCTGCAGGAGATGTACTGTATAAGAAACCAAAACCCAACCAAGATGCTGTCTGCCAGATCCTTGACCCTGAGTTTCAAGCAAGAAGAACCTTCATTGACAATGACATTCTGAAAGAAGAGGACAGACCTGCAAAAATTTTGGAAGCATATCCATGTTTCAAAAAGCTTCATCATGTAAGATGCACTTGTTGTTTTTGACTTCTCCACAAAGCTAGCATTGTTGCAGATTTTAACACTTATTTGAATTGCAGGTGATGGATGAACTGCGGCGGATTCTGGATAAGGACAACAGCAAGTTCATAAATGAAGTAAAAAAGAGATGGGCCGACTTCTGCTCCATGGTGCAGTTTTATGGGGTTTGGAGGAAAGTGTTGAAACCACCCATGAGCCTGGGTGCAGGTAAGTCATTTTGCTGTCTTTAATGCATGTAGCTGTTTCAACAGACACAATTAATAGAACTGTTGTCAATGCATAACACTGATTAAATGATAATAGGATGACAGTGCTGTTCATTGCAAAGCATTTTCTATTACCTGACATGGGGCAGTGGTGGCCTAAAGGTTAGAGACCTTGTGACGAGCTTGTGACTGGAAGGTCACCGCATCAGTCTCACTTGTCCCTCCCTCATTTCACCACTGAGGTGCCCTTGAGCAAGGCCTTTAACCCCAACCGCTCCAGTGGAGCTGGTTAGTGGCTGGCAGTTAAGACTGTGGTTGTGGTTGTGGTTGCTCAGTGAACCTACCCTGAATAAAGTTTATTAAAAAAAAATAGAATGAATAAAAAAAAAAAACTCATCAGATGCTGGCTAACTTTGAACTAAAACTTGATTTATTCTGTTCTAGTGGAATCCAACATCGCCTTGTTCAGGGCACTACCCACACTCTTCCCCTCACAGTCTGCACCACCCAAGAAGATGGGACAGGCCAGTGAGGCATTGCTTCATGTCCTTCAGGTGAGTTTGTTTATATTTTGTTAAGAATTGATCCTTTAACATTTTCCCAAGTGTCCCAAGGGCACACACTCTTTAAACAGTGAAAAGTTATTTTCATGATTTCTCTGCCTGGCATGTCTTGACCCATGGTCCTATATTTAGAGCAGAAAATGATCCATTCATATACCACATATATATGATATGTACAGCTCTGGAAAAAAACAAGAGACCACTCTCACAAATGTTTCTTAAATCAGCATCTTTACATCTATAGCAGCCAGTCCATTCCAGTGTTTGTTCAATTCCAGGTGATCACCTGAACCAAATCTTATTTTATGAGGAAGATTATAAAAACCACTTCTGTGATTAAAGATTGAGACGATCCCACCAATAATGATTTCTAAACTCCTAAGTTAAAATATTAGTGTTGTGTTGTTTAAAAATGAATATGAACATGTTTTCTTTGCATTATTCGAGGTCTGAAACGCTGCATCTTTTTTTGTTATTTTGACCAGTTGTCATTTTCTGCCAATAAATGCTATAAATAGCAATATTTTAATTTCAATTTCAGATGATGTCAGCACTTTATAGAATGAAACAAAAATTTTCATTTTACTTAAATGCATACCTAGAAATAGTAAAACCAGCAAAACTGATCATTTTGCAGTGGCCTCTTAATTTTTTCCAGAGCTGTAGATGTACATAATGGTGTTAAAAAATCTTAGGTCACTTGGCCAAGCAGTTTTTCAGTTTTTTAGTATACTCTGAAGAAACTTCTGTTTTCTTCTTCAGCCAACAGAAGAGCCAGCCATCTATCTCCAGAAGAGAAATCTCTCCAGCCCTGTTTTGGTCTTTGATGGGTCCCATTGTCTTCTGGCAATTGGAAACACTCCTGTCACTACATTTGCCAAAGAAGAACTTGGCGAAGGTTTGCTGTACCTCATGGGTTATTACTACACCCTACATCTCACATATCCAAAGTGTGTGGCGACCCTACTCTCTGTCATTCAGACAGAAGTCTTAAAGGACATTATCCATGAGCGAGACGCCACAAGCTCGTACAAAAGAGCCATGGCAGAGTGGAGTGGTTTTATGAAGACATAGCTGTTCAGGCTTGGGGGGGTAAAAAATTCAAGCCCCTGTGTTTTTTGTTCTTCACAAATACTGAAGACTTGCTGTCTTTTGTTTATATTTCTATTTGTCTCATTTTAAATGTTATTGAATATTGAGGTTATAGCCTCTGTGTAACCACTGAGTGTTTCCTCTGAGTGAGGTACTTTTTTTGCAAGCACTTCAAATAAATGTTGTTGGCAATATTCTCTGTGTATGATTTTAATTTAGTGTGAATGCTTTGTATTGATTTAAGAAGAATCATCTTGTTAAGTTGCTCTGGGTTTATGTTTTTTTCACTCAATTTGAGTAAGAAACAAAAATTGAAATAAGAATTGAAAAGTTAGTTTTGAGATTATTTCACTTGCATACAGTACTTGGAATGAGTGAGTTTCTCACTTGCCTAATATGTATTTATTTTTTCTTATTTCAAGAAATCTTACCAAGTGTGATTATCTCACTGCACTGGTATATTTCACTTAATTTTAGTCTATATCTGCTCAAACCAAGTATTTATTTCTTATATTAAGACTATTAATTTTTGCAGTGCAGACATTTGCAGCACCATCTGGTGTAGCCAGGTCCCTGGAAAAGATGTCTCCATCTGTGACAGCTCCAACTCATACTTACCTGGCAGGGGAGATACCATGATCAGGAAGGTGGTTCTCCCAAGGCGAGGCTCAGCCACTTCAGATTGTATCAGGAAGTGAGAGGCAACGCGAAGCCCTGGAGAGTTATCGCTTCTCGGCCTTTTGGCTAAGATCAAGTGTAGTATCTGTTCTTATCAGTTTAATATCTGATACGTCCTCTATACGAGGACCACATATTAAATGGATTTTTAGGACACGGAGCAGAAAGAGGGGCTTGCCCCGTTCGCTTCACGCATCGACCCGGTACTGCAGTGCCGCCGGGACCGGTGCACTCACCGCTGCTCTGGTCAAAGGAAGCAAGCACCACTTTGTCACGGTGTCTACGCTCAGTCCCGCTGATGAAAGGCAAAAGCTTGCATGGGCTTCGGGGGGCTGGTTGCAAGATTTGCTTTGAGACGGCTGCCGTTTGGATTGACCTATAATTACCCTAGAGAGTTAGTCTGTTTGACTCTATTGCTAGGATTAGTACTGGATTTCATC